AAATAATGTTCTTTTTAGCAACATCATATGACCCCTTTAATGTATGTAAAATGGGGTAATGTGTGTCTGCTCCATTCAGTGTATGTAATGGAGTCAGACAGGGAAGCATTTTGTCTCGCTCTTTATTTAATGTTTATATGGATGCTTTATCAGAGCTGTTGAATGGTTGTAGAACAGGTTGTATGGTTGGTCTTACTATTATAAACCATTTGATGTATGCAGATGATTTGGTGATTTTTTGTCCATATAGTGCTGGTCTTCAACAGTTACTGAGGATTTGTTCTCGATATGGTTCAGATTTTGATATTAAATATAATGCCAAAAAGAGTAATATTATGATTGTTAGGAGTAGGGGGGACAGAAAACTGACATTTCCTGACTTCTCTCTGTCTGGGAGTGTCCTTAAGGTATGTAATGAGGTTAAATACTTGGGGCATTATATAACTGATGACCTGTCTGATGATAGGGATATTTACAGACAGTGTTGTATGCTGTATGCCCAGGCCAATATGTTGATTCGCAAATTTGGCATGTGCTCAGGATCGGTGAAGACTACACTTTTTAAAGCATACTGTACCCCTATGTATTCCGGCATTACAGAAAGAGCAGCATGCAGAGAGTTAATGTAGCTTATAATGATGGTATGCGATTGCTGCTTAAGGAGCCAAGATGGAGCAGCGCAAGCCAAATGTTTGTCAGTGCTGGTGTGCCGACCTGCGCTGCTGTGTAGCGTAATCTCATGCACAGATGTATGTGTAGCTTATCAGAATCTGTAAACAGTATCATTTTAACACTGACGAAGTTCAGTCAGGCTTTTTTCAAATATGTGGAATCATTGGTGTTTTAGTACACATGTAAATATGTGATATTGTGGTTTTTGTACTTGTGTGTGTGTGTGTGTGTGTGTGTGTTGTTATTGTTGTGTCTTTGTTTGGACATATATGTATATATATATATGTCTATGTACAAGGTTGCTCACTAAAATGTCTCTGTATAAGTAAGATGCCGAAACGAAAATATAAAAAATACCTGGAGCCTGGCAGTGTGTCCATCATACCAGCCAAAACCAGACAAAGGCTTGAGAAGGAGGCTGGTTTTGAGGTAGCTATTCATGTTTCTATTAATTATCCAAATAACAACTTCATATGAAATAAACATACCTATGTAAGTTATAAACTGTTACAGTAGTACATATTTTCAAAGCCCTTATATTGTTTTATAGGCGGGAGATCCATCATGGGTAAAAACCTCACATTCATACCAGACCCCTGCTGACATGGTATGGTACCCTTCTGAAGCTTCTTTGGTCCTTTGGTTTAGACTCATAGATTCATGGATTCATAATTTTTCATAATTATAATCATTAAACAACTGACTAATTGGTTAAATTCTTTAGTGGTAGTATGCTGACAGCAAGCTGTTTTTAGCTGCCAAATACAGCCATATACATTTAGATAGAAGATCAGCCACCAAACTATTTTAAGAAATATTATGAATATTGCTCTGTAGATTTTGCATATTGTCCATGATTAATTAATTAATTTATTTTTAGGTAGAAGCTATTACAGGCACAAGTGAGGCCCTTTTGCTGAATGGCTCGTAAGGGAAATGGATTGCGAACCGATATCAGTATTATTGCTGCTGCTATTTTTTTCCACCCGCTGTATCTCAGGCATTTCAAATTAGTCGTTTTGCGTTAAGTTATAGGCTTGATATTCGCTGGATAACAACTCATGTCGCTTAAGGGACCGTCTACAAACTCCAGCCACAGTTAAAAAATAAAAAAAGTAAACTACATCTAATCAAAGCATTCTCAGGT